CTAGCAGCTTGGGTTCATTCTAAAAAACAGAGAAAGCGGTGCTTGTTGCTTTACTTTTAATAGCGCAGGTTGTCATGCCAACCAGTGCTACTGTTTAAAAAGGGGGAGAAAAAGAAGTGTTCCTTCCTACACAAACCTTTCAGCAGGGCTTCACATCAGTCTTTAAAAACATGAAAACTCCTAGCACTGGAGATACGGTAACCATTGCACTTATATTTAAACCTGTTAGGATGAGGATGTGATGCTCCTTTGGCTTGAATTCCCTTTGCACACAGCGCTCCTTGCCCAGGATCCGGCTGAACAGCGCCCCGAGAGAAAGAAAGGCACCGTGTGGGCACACAAGAAAGCGGCCCATCTTGAGATGCGAGGGGAGCCTTCCACCTTGAACCACAGAGACAGAGGAGAGCTCTTCCGCAAGGTGGCTCTGCTCCCCGCATAAGCACCGCTCCTAAGGGGCGGAGTCTGCACAACGCTCACGACACACACAAAGGTGTCGAGACTACGAGAAGAGGGGCTGGGGGCCCCCCCACCCCGTCCCTGCTGGTGCGGGAGTGCCTGGACCCGCGCTAGCCGCGTCCTGATGCACACGTGTTGACGCTGCTTGGGGACAAGAGAAGGGAGGAAGGTATGATGAGGACAGGGTGGCAAGGAGGCAGGACCTCTCCTGGCACAGCAGCCTGGTGGAGGCGAACTCTTCTGTTCATGAAAGATTCCACCCAGAAGAAAGGAGGATTCCTGCAGCGGCACAGAGGCAAAGAGAACCTGCTCACAGAGCAGCTGAAGGGTGATGTGCCAGACACGTCAGGGCCTGGCAACCTGGCTCCACGCTTCCACCCAGGGTCCTCGCCTCCTCTCCTCACTCCATGAGAGCAAGGCCTCATGTCCCTGCACCTCCGTGACCTCTTAGACTTAATTCCTGTCAGGCCCCGAAGAGCCAATTCATACGTCAGCTGTCTGTCATTCTCCCTGGCGCCCCCAACCTGCCAGCTCTGCTGCACCTGGCCTAGTCCCTTCACCTGCAATTAACGTGCCTTTGCACTATCTAGTCTTCTCTAACTGGTTACCTTTCCATGTGTCGCGTTCCGATTGCCCTGTCTAGACTGGAAGTTTCTGGAAGACAAGATACTGCTTTTGTATACTTAGTTGCTTCCTCCATGCCTGGCAACTCCGGGGCACCCAGCGGTAGAAACAGCACAGCAGCACGCGGCTGCTGTTTGATGAGCTCTACGTGTAGGGCTCTGTTCTGAGCACTTCACATGAATTAGCGAATAACCCTCACCATGATCTGACACAGGTGTGATTATTATTCCTGTTTTACAGAAGGAAAGACTGAGGCATGAGAGGTTGATGACTTGCCGGGATCACACAACTAGTAAGCGGCAGAACCAGAACTCAAACCAAAGCTCTCGGACTCTAGGGCCTGTGCCCAGGACACGTGAGAAGGCTGACCCGGGCTTGGGGGTTGAGGAGGCAGGGCTGGGGTGCGGATGTCAATGGAGGGGAGGAGGATGATGGGGAGCATCCACAATAAAACATCTATGATACTGTCCCATTCCTTGCAACTTACACAGATGTACGTGCACTTGTTCATAAAGAGATATAGGACAAAGTGCTCTCTAAAATGTCAGTGGGTAGTCAACTCTCTCAGGAGAGTGGGATTCTCAGTGACTTTTTTCTTTTCCACGTTTGTATGTAACGTTTGATTCTTCAAGGAGTCTGCTGGGCTGTAGCACGGGGCAGAAAGACAATGTTTTCATTACAGGAGGAAAAGGAAAGCAAAACAAAATAAAAAGAGGGAGAAAAAGAAGGGGCAAGGGGGACAGCCATGAAATGTTTCTCAACAGAAGGGTGTTTGAGAAAGATCACTGCGGTGACGATGCAGCAGATGAAGATAGGATATAAACAACGGCCACGTGAATGATGATGACAATCCCAACATCCGCGGGGCCCAGAGAAATAATGTAGGAAGTTTAAAATCCAGTTACTCCACAGCAGCACTGTCGCCACGGCCAAATGTCCACCAGCTGATAAATGGAGAAACAAACCGTGGTCTATCCATACAATGGGATGTTACTCAGCCATAAAAAGGAATGAAGGACGGATACACGCTACAATGGGGATGACCCTGAAAGCATTATGCCAAGTGAAAGAAGCCAGACACAAAAGGTCATATAATGGATGATTCCATTTATATGAAATACTCAAAATAGGTAAATCCACAGAGTCAGAAAGCAGATTAGTAGCTGACAGGGTCTGGGGGAAGGGAGGAATGGGGAACAACTGCTTAATAGGGACGGGGTTTCCTTTCAGGGTGATGAAAGTGTTTTGAAATTAGAGGTGATGGTTGTACAACAGCATGAATGTACTAAATGCCACTGAATTGTACCTTTTAAAGTGGTTGAGTGTATGTTATGTAAATTTACCGCAATTAAAAAAAAATCCAGTTAGCCTTTTACCCTAAAGTCCTCAGGAAATGGAAGAGCAGATGAGAAGAAAGAAAGGAAGGGTGGGGAGGAAGGAAGGAAGGAAACATACAATACTAATTGGGGGGGAAAAAAGGGGAAGGAGGGAAGGGAGGGAGGGAGTAAGGGAGGAAAGAAGGGAGGAAGGAAGGGAGGGAGGGAGGGAGGAAGGAAGGGAGGGAGGAAACCCCGGCAAATGAGGGAAGCGGGACACTTTAAGTCATGGCCTGAGACCAAGGGAGAGAGGTCGGTGCTCAGCCAAGGGCGGACCAAGACCCTCCTCCAGGAGGCGAGCTCTCCAAAACCAGGGCCAGCCCTCGAGATGCTGGGCACCTGCGCCTTCCTCCTAAGACAGCTCTACTTAGATCTGCTTCACCGTGGCCGCCACATGTGCACTGGGGGAAGCTCCATCTGCAAAACTAAGTAGAAATAGCAAGAAAAGCTAAGGCCAAGGATTCAGATCCTTCATTACTGGATGAGACCCTGTGTGGAGACCCCCCGGCAGCAGCCAGCCCAGACGGCAACTGCCTGCTGCTTGGCGGCCTTCCTCTAGGCTGGGAGCCGCTCACGGACAGGGACCCCGCCTCGCCCACGGCTGCATCCCCGGCCTGAATCACAGCCCCTGGCACAGAACCAGGGGCTGCATTTATATGTGTTAAAGAAATGAATGTCCTCTATTATATATATATTTGATCCATCGATTTATATGTTTAATAGATAAAACACAGATATGGCACGAAATTCAAAAGGCTCCAAGGGATATACAGTGATAAATTTCCCTTTCTTCCACCGTTCTGCTCCAGCACTTTCAAGGCAATCCCTGACGCTGTTTCCACTGTTGTCAATGTGACTAGAGCATATTCTGAATTGCAAAGGCTCCGGCAACCAACCGGACTACCCAGTGACTTGGGCGTCAGGTCATCACCACGAGATGAAGCTACATGTGATGTCAAGGTGAAAGTCATCTGGCTGAAGACAAGGTCCCAGGATTCCGTGCCGGGCAGAGGCCCATGGCAGGGAGCTGTGGGCTCGCGGAGGAATGC